TTTTTTTTTTTAAAGCTATTTTCCCTTCTCTACTGGAGGATCTTTCAAAAAGGCTCAAGTTGGGGGCCTCCTGCAGGTGGGAAGCGTTGGCTGGTCCCCGCACCCCCTTTGATCACGTTTCCATCAAGCAGTGGGATCTGCAAACTCAGTTCCCCGGGGCTGGATGACAAACCTCTTCTAGCTTGAAGGGAGGAAGCCCCGGACACTGCAGACAGACCGGGAGATCAGAGAGACAGATCAGAGAGACGGGGAGATAAGAGCAGAGGCAAAGCTGAAGCAAAGCTGACCTAGTTAGAGCAGAAAGAGGCTGCAGGGGCGGCAGGAGTGGCCTGGGAGAAAAGAGACGAGCTTCCCAGGACAGGGAGGAGCAGAGGGCTGGCTCTTGTTTAAGACGCCCTGGCAGGACTTGGGGTCATAAAGGGGATTCTGCGTGGAGACTCAGTGAGCTGTGTGTGTGTGTGTGTGTGTGTGTGTGTGTGTGTACGTACATGTGTGGAGGGTGTGGAGGGTGTGGAGGGGAGTGTCTTTACCAAATTGTGTCCAAATGCTTAGGTTTTAAAGTCACGCTCTTGAAGGAAATGAGAACCAGAAAACTATCTGGCCCTCGGGGGAGCCTCGTAGGCAGTGCCATGAACCCAGCAAGACTGAGCAGAGCCCAGAGCCTTCTGCCAACATTCCCCGTCCTGGCCACCCCCTGGGACCCAGCTCCCATACTAGGCGCTGGGGGGAGACGGAGGAAGCAAAGATGGGGGACCCAGTCTGGAGCGTGATCAGCACCCCCCCCCAACCCCCAGAGATGCCAGTGAGCACCACACTGCATCGGGGCCCCATGGGGGACAGAGACATGCCCGTCGTGGTCTCTGCCCCTCAGAGGGACGCAGTCTATTTGAGGGAACGGTGATCCTCGTGAAGCAAGAGTAAGCGATCTGAGGTCACAGAAGGGGTTTCTGGCAGAGGCGGGGAAGGCTGTGTGGGAGAGAAGGTGGACATTCCATGGCTCCTGAGGTCTGGGAGTGCAGGATTGGGACGAGAAGAGAGAAGTGGGGCATTCCAGAGTGAAGGTACATGGATAGGCCTAAGTTTGGCTCCTGCGCAGACCAAGGAGGTGGCCGGCCTGACGGGATCGGAGGCCCATTGAAGGGAGATGGAGAAACCTAGCAGGATGTGCAGAGTCAGATTACCGAGGGCATTTTAAACTTCTAAAAGGGACTGGATCAGGGCGCCTGGGGGGCTCAGCCGGTTGAGCGTCCGACTTCAGCTCAGGTCATGATCTCACGGTTCGTGAGTTCGAGCCCCGCGTCGGGCGCGCCGCTGTCAGCCTGGCAGCGTAGAGCCCGCTTCGGATCCTCTGTCCCC